TCACCGTTCATGGGTTCAAGCCCCACATTGAGCTCTGTGCTGACAGCTCAGAGCCTGGAGCCTGCTTCAGATTCTGTGTCTCCCTCTCTCTTTGCCCTTCCCCTGCTCATGCTCTGTCTCTCTTTCTCAAAAATAAACAAACATTAAAAAAAAGTACCAGAAATTTTAAAAAATTGTTATCAGTTATATATCATGGATGTTTTGAGGCTGAAAATATGTCTTGGAATCAATTTTAGTATAGTCCCTTCTGAATCCATTCATGTTCTTTTGTCACAGGCAACAGAAACTGATTCTGACTAAATAAAGTAGAAACAATTTTATTGGAAGGATATTAGGTAACAAGCTGAATTTAGGGAGAGCCCAGCTCATATGAAAAGGACAAGACCTGAGACCCTTGATAGGATCTTGGTAGCGAGAACTACTTGAGACTCTTGTCAGGATATCAAGTTGACTGAACTCCAAAAACCTCCTAACCGTTTGTGTTTTTCTTGCTCCAAGATTCAGAATTATGGGAGAGGAACTGGTTTGCTTAGTTTGGGTCACTGATCCACCGCTTGGTTAGAGAGTCTTTACAATCAAGTCCCACCAAGATGACACACAGTGTGAGAATGGTCATTTTCAAAAGTGTCTGGAGTACTGCCACCTGTGGAAATGGAGCTAGGTGTTGGGTGACCAAAGCCAACCAAAACACCCTCACCTTCCAGGTGAAGGAAACAAGGCCTGCAGGGTGATTTTCTGCGTTTTTGTCCCAGCTGAGATTAGAATGTGGATAGCCTCCTGGCTTGTGTTTATTTTTATTGTTTAAAGTCCATATTCTATTTTTTATTTATTTACAACTTTCTTCTCTTCCAAGGCATAACCATCAAAGCTGACAGTGCTTGTTTGAAGCAAGGTTAGATTTTTAGCCCTTCAGATCTCGTCCTCAGATCTCCTATATTCCCCCACAACCTGTCTCCATTTGGAGGTACTACTTGGATATCCTTTCAGCCTTCTTCTCACTTAAGTTATCTGAATCCAATCTCATTATCTTTCCCCAAACCTGTTCATCCTTTTGTGTTCTCTTCTTTAGCAAATAACCAATTACCTATTGCCCAGCCTCAAAACCTGGTGTCCTCCTAGGTCCTCCTTTTCCTCCTCCCCCAACACCCCCTCAGTCACCAAGGAATTGATATTTTTATCTCCTAAATATGTGTTGAACCCACCTGCTTCTATCCATTCCCCCTGCCTTTCCTTTGGTCCAGCCCCTGTGACCTCTCCTTTCCAAGACCACCAGATTCCTCCATCTCTTCGCCCTGCTCCCACTTCCACCCTCCTCCTGGCCATTCTCTTGGATCAGGCACAAATTTCAGAGTCACAAGCTCGAAGGTGTTAAATTGAAAGCCTTTATTTTTTTTATAACAATTTTAATTCCTGGCCGCGAGCCTTGATCTTCCCTAGTGTAAAAATCCAGTCTTGTTCTTCTCAGGTAATGTGAGTCCAATTCAGTGATTTCTCAGGTTATTCAAGATTCTGACACCTCGTCCCCTCACCCTGTTTTCTCATATAGAAACAACACAGTGCTGGAGCAAGGTAGAGAGGAGGAGAGTTGCCAGACTTAGCAAATAATAATATAGGATATATACTTCAATTTGAGTTTCAAAAAAATTAGTATAAATATGTCCTATGCAATGTTTGGAGCATACTAATACTAAAAAAATATTCATTGTTTATCTGATATTCAAATTTCACTGGGCATCCTGCCCAGTTTCATCTGGCAACTCCAGGGCTGGGGGTTTGTCAGTATTTACTTTCAGATCTTAATCTAAGACCTTACTATAGACACTGAATATCCTTCTCTAGTATCTGTTTCTTCATTCTTCTTTGCCAACAAAACTACAGTTTTGCTTGGGAGAGCAATGTGTCTAAGAACAGGCAGAATTTTAGTTTTTCCAGTCTCCTTGCAGCAAGGGGTGGCCATGGTGAATGGGACCAAAGTAAGAATTTACTAGCAGTTACAGGAATGCTTTTGGTGTTCCCAGTAATAGGGAAAGACATATCTGGTGCCACCCATCTCCCCATTCTTTTTGCCTTGAAGATGGACACAGTATCTGAAGCTATAACAACCATCCAGTGACCAGCAGGGGACAAGCATGAGGTAAAGAATAAGATAATCCCAGGTGCATTGACCTTGCCAGACCACTGAACCAAGGCCATCAGATGCCTACTTTTAGGCATCTTTTGCTGAGAGAAATGGAGATCTCTAGTTTTAAAGGTACTATGAAACAAGTTCTCTTGCTTGTAGTTGAATGCATTCCAAACCTATGGGGTGTCCATCTCTCATGTCCATCTCTCACGTGTCCATCTCTCATGCATTCATGAGAGATGAATGCATCCTTTTCTGTCAGATTTGGAAATATGCTGACCTGACTCCTTTGATAGCTCCCTAAGGCTTCTTATTCTCAGTGTTATAGCTGTGTCCTCCTTCAGCCCCCAGTGGGCGGCCATACAAAAACATTTTAGCACACATTCCCTGGTTGTGGCCAGTGACATTGTGACAGATATACCAGCCCTCTATTTCCATTAACTGTTGTGTCATACATGGAGCCCACTAGATGACTATGGTATTTCACCCATACCATTCAGGAGCTATGGGAAATTATAGTGGCTGGTTCTGAGAAATCCAATACAGTGACTTTTGGTATACCTTGTGTGGGGCAGGTAGAAGGAGGGGAGAGAGAGGACATGGCCTTTGCAGCATTTCACTGCTCCTTCTTCATACTATCTTCCTTTGTCTTGACAAGAGGGCAGAAACAAACAAAAATCTTTTACTTCTTTTCTCTTCCCTATGTCATACGTTTTTGGTCTCCTACAACATGGGGGCCTTTGACCTTGTGGCCTAGGAATGTGGCTTCCTTATTTTCTTTATGGATGAGTCCTATTAAACAGGTGCTGTATATCTATCTGGATGCCAGAGCGGGGAGGATAAGAGCTCAGCTGGAACACTCCTTCCGGGTGATTTTTCTAAACTGTAATCTCATGTAGTCATTTCCGTAACTGGGACCCTTCAATGGCTCTAACTCACTCTTCGCTTGGAGTCCACACTTCTTACCATGGCTTTGAGGTCCTGTCTTTTCTTTAAAAGCTACTCTCTCACCACTCCTCTCTTCACCTTTCTTTATACCTAAGCTTATACCTTACTTATACTGAGTAAGAAATTCTTGGTGGATGGCACATGGGCTGTTTTTTTCTTTTTTCTTTTGTTTTTTAATTCTTTAGATGAATCTACTGCATATCCAGAAGTTGAGAACCAGTAGTGCAGGACTTTACACGTATCTGAGCATCTTCACATACATAATCTTTTTTTTTTTTTTACAAGTGGGGGAAGTTCAGAGAGAGGGAGACACAGAATCCGAAACAGGCTCCAGGCTCTGAGCTGTCAGCACAGAGCCTGACACGGGGCTTGAACTCACAAACCGCGAGATCATGACCTGAGCCGAAGTCAGACGCTCAACCAGCTGAGCCACACAGGCACCCCTACATAATTTAATTTTGTTCTTAGAAGAATCCTGTGATATAGGTACGGCATAGATTGATACACACATTTTACAAACGAGATGAAATGAGGTACACGGAGCAGTAGAACTGGGCCCAACCTTGAGTAATCTAATTCAAGGCTGTCTCCACTCCACCCTGAAATTTTTATTACTAGTAGTATCACATTGTGTCAGTTGTTCTAAATATTTAACTGGCTCCTAATTTTTAAAAAATGTAATGTAATATAATTAGTAGCTATATGATTTGGCCTCTGATTGCTCATTAAGTGGAATAAAAGCTGCCACACAGCTGTTGTCCCATAACTCTGTTTATTTCCTGTATCGCACTTTTCATCATCTGAAATGATTTATTATTTCCTATTTACTTGTTGGTTGTGTTCTCCCACTAGAATACAAACTTCACAAGAAGATTGAACCCATTTGGTCTAGAACAGTGCCTTCTACCTAGAAAATTTAATAGCTATCTGTTAAATAAATTGAGTATTCATTTGTCACTTTATCTCCTTGTATATGATTTATCACTAAATTAGAAGTGAATTGTTAATCTAAAAAATCATTAACTTAATCCTAACTGAAAATATTTTTAAGTGTATTTATTAATAGATTTTAATAAACATTTTCTAACCAAACATCCAAGCATGAGTGAATGAATGAATGAAGGAACTTCCATAACTTATAATGAAGCCACATAATATAGAGTGCCTTTTTGACATTAAATGGCATATTTAATTTTTGCTTGGCATGTTGAATTTTTTGTTTTGTTTTACTGGGAGGCTAGTATATCAAGTACTTTTGGATCTTGCAATTGCTACAGTCTGCATGTGTTCCCCCAAATTCATATGTTGAAATCCTAACTCCCAAAGGTGATGGTGTTAGTAATTGAGGTCTTTGGGAGGTGCTTAGGTCATGAAGGCTCTGCCCTCATGAATGGGATTAGTGCCTTA